CAGATGAAAATATTCAGCATAGAATGGAAGTACTGAAAGAAAATGTTAACAAATACAACAACCCTTTTTACTTACGAGCATTTAACGTTCAATCTTTGATGAACTCGGTGAAAATAAAAGGTTAAATTTCAAGAAAACATATAGAAATGAAACATTGTTTAAAGTTCATTCAGAACCTAACCAAGATGGAAACAAACCTACTTTTGTTTCTGCAGACGATGGAACTACAATGAGATGGGGTCATAAAGCTAATCCGGATAGGTGGTTCATAAACTTACAACCACAATTCCAAGAAGTTGTAGACGCAATGGAAGTCAATGGTGAACCAGATATAGCTGGTATTTTCAGCGCGGCTTAATGCCATTGAAAGATATGAAACATGCAGATATTTTGGACCAGTATGAAATGAACATGGCTGATGGAAATATAACACCTGACGTTCTAGAACATTTATCTCAAGAACTACACAGAACCATAGAGATGGTATATTTGGTGAAGAGTTTAGAAAGAAAGTTAGGGACAGAGAAGGAAGAGAACCTATTGTACATGACCTTGCAAACGAAAGTTTACAAAAATGTCATAAAAACTTACTTTGCAGACAATGAACTGAGAAGGGATGAATATTTAAGAAAACTCAAATGGACAGTACCAAATGAAATGTTAGTATTGAAAAACATGTTCCTTGACAAAATAAAACCAACTACAGAAATAAATGACGCAAGACTGAAAGATTGGGTAAAAGCTTTCCCATTCACAAAAGATATAGTTGGTAACATGGAAAGAAAACCAGAATGGCTACAAAAACATATATTTGGAAACGAGCTTATTCCATATGGACAGGCACTGTTTGAAGAGCTTGAACCGGAAACTCAGGAAAGAGTCATGCAAACAATACGCGAAGACTCAAATACAAACTATGACAAACTCTTTCTAGGATATAGGTTACCTGAGATGGGCGACCAGAGCCCAAAGGCAAAAAGGACATGGGAAATTTACAACATACTAGGTGAACATGAGGCAAAGATGCAACAACTTGAAGCAGAGGGCAAGTTACCAAAAGCGACACCAAAAGAAGAAGAGAAGAGTAGAACAAAGTGAAAGTAGTGAAGAAGTAACTTCATCTAGTGAAAGTAGTGGCAATGAAGAAAAAGAAGAGTTAAAAACTCAGTCAGGAAGAAAGTAAAGCTTGGTCCACGTGGGTTCTATTATGACATATAAATCCAAACTATTCTATATTTTTACCCATATGAAATGTACGCCGCTCAGAATATAACGCCAACAGTTTTGGATGCTATGAATGGAAATGTTCCGAATGGTATAACGAATGCGACAATGCCATTAGAAGGTCAGAAATAGTTCCTGGAACTTACGAATATACAACTGCTGTTTCTTATGGAAACGTAGGTGAGTTTGGAGAAGGTTCTTCAACAACAGTAGATATTGCTTGCGACAGGTTTCATATAATTTCTATTGACAACTCTTTCTTATACGTGGAACAAGACATTGAAATAAAACCATCTGCCAAGTTGTCTGACAAGAAAGGTTGCAATGGAATTTTCTATGTCGGATACCAATATGCTCCAGAAGTTTTCATGGGATATAAGATATATTCTAACTCTGACTTAGTTCAAACAGTAACATGGGCAAACTATGAATGGTTCGCTTTGAGAAACTCAGTACAACCACAAGCTAGAGAACAAACAGACCAGTATGCACTATTGAGAAAATAAGAAGACTTGACCCTAACGTTCCAGGAGTTTATGTTAACCTTTCTGGACAAACTGCAGCAGCAGTAACCAAAGTAAAATTGAAACTTAGAGTTCCTTTGTCATCTTTCCTCATCTTCAGGTTTTTAAGATACTTGCCAAACTGGGCAGGAAAAATTTCTATCGAACTTACTCCAAGCAAAAATAACTTAGTCATTGCACCAACACAAGACCCATTCACTCTTACAGACGTAAAGGGAGCAAATCAAACGTCATTCGCCGAATTTTGCAAAGACAAAGTTGACTTAGACTTTGGTTTCTCAAACCTCAACACTGAAGTAAACTACTACTTCAATGCTGCTGGAACTGCTTGGGACCCAGTTAAGTTCACATGCGAAAAGTTTGAATGCAAGAGAATAGAAAGCAGACTTGCAGTCTATATGTTGGACCCAGATATTTCAAATGCTTTAGCTGCCAAATATATTGCAGTTCCACTTATGTTCCCTATACACCAAATATCTGTCAAAGACTTTGCAGGTGAAGTTGGAAACCAAAGTGCTGACCCAGGTGCAAGAACAGATATTGCCTTAACAACTGCAATGAAACATGCAGATACTATGTTTGTACTGTTCAGACGAACTATAAATGACTATTCTTGTTTCTACAACCCCGGTATTAAATATCATATAAACATAGATGGCAAATATTATCCAAGAGAAGAATATTCTACAGTTGAGGATATGAGGTCATACAACTTGACATTAGATGCTATGAACTTTAACAACAACTTCACAACAACCATTAACCCTGAAATGCAAAGTTCTATTATGCCATATGTGAAAGTATGGACTCATACAGGAGCTCAAAACACTCAATATACAAATGGAGACCGTTCAAACTTTTGGCTTGGCATTCCATTTGCTGACTCAGAAGACTTTATGGTGGTATTTCAACTGTTGGTACAGTTCAAATACAATATACTGGTGACAGAGACGGTCCAGATGAATTGAAAGCAAAGAAGTTTACAAAACCAATAGCACTTTTCACGGAAGATGCTCTTTTGAAGATTCGTTCGATGAAACCTGCTGGGGCTCCTCAGATTGGTATAACGACAGCTTCCATCGAGCAGATTTTGGCAGCAGGTCAGTAAGTTGTTCTTGAACTGACTTCTCTCCGTCAAATATTGACAGTACGCCAGTTTTGACATAGTATTGTATTAAAAACTTACCTTTAGAAATATCGGTCAGTTTTGTTGTTATATTTTTGTCTGCTTCAAGAACTTTCACCATCTCGGTTATACCAACTTTCTTTGCTTTATGAAAATATTTTGGTTCAGCAAAGACTGCTATTCTATAACATTTTCCATTGTTTGTGTAAAGAACTACTCTGTCAATGAACTTGTATTGTTTGTGTGTGTAAACTTTGTTCTGCTTCAATTCGAAGAGATACTCAAATACGTCCATCTTTTTATTCTAAGTAAAATGTCATTTCCGAAAAATAGAAGCGTAAGTGTTTCAAAAGGTTTAATGGCGGTGGCAGATGTGAAGTTAAATTCACCAACTCAAACAAACAGTCAAAGTGTTGTTGTCAATGTCAAAGACAGAGATGTTGAAGTGGGGAAACCATACGAAGACGAAAATGGTATAACAATAGTTCCTGTAAAAGAACAACCAACATATCCTGAAGTTAGCAGAGACTTAAGTTCTGTTGCAGATATTCGAAACGACTACCAACAACTTAAAGACAAACTTAAAACTCAGGAGAAGATTTGTCAAGCTTTAGGTATAATGTTAAACTTGGTCGAACACAACCCTGTAAAAGTGAACTCATATGTCATTGCACCTCATGAAATTTTGAAAGAACTATTGAAACTTTTGACAGAGGCAGACGATATAAACATCAAAGAAATAGAACCCGACATTGCTTGCTGTGGTGTTTCATATAATGTCATTGACAAGATATACGTTATGAAAGGAGGTGAAACGTTGAACTTAAAATATAGTTTCCCAGACGTCATAAAAATATTTGACGACCACAACATTTCATTAAAATTTACTTGCTAAGTAAAAATGTCAAAACTTCTTGAAAGATGTTTGAAGAAAAACAATATAGACTTTATTTCATGTAAAGGACTTTACACACTTTTGAACGATATGAAAGACCCTGAAGACAATGGTTTGTTCGTGTAGACAAAGGAAAGTTCTATGTCTTTACAAAATATTTGAACTTCTTAGACAGAGACCCTTAATGTAAAGGACTTTACACACTTTTGAACGATATGAAAGACCCTTAATGTAAAGGACTTTACACACTTGTTTTGTTTGTTCGTGTAGACAAAGGAAAGTTCTATGTCTTTACAAAATATTTGAACTTCTTAGACAGAGAACTTCAAGAAACGCCATGTGAAAGTTTAGATGAAGTTCTTCTCCACTTTCAGAAAAACTTTTAAATATATGTAAATGGCAGAAGACATAGTGGTTTATACTATTACGACTAAAAACCCTGAGTCATATAATTCTATAACAACAAACTTACAAAGTCCTCAAGGACGATATTGTAAACTGACCTTAAACACGATGACGACTAAAGCCTGTTTTGCTCTTTTGACACCAGAAGATTTTATTGTTGTGAATGGTAAAAAATACTCCTTTGAAGATACTTACTCAGATATACCACCAACAGGTTTTGTTGACTTATTTAATACTTTAAGGACGGATGTAACATGTGCTGCAACTAGAGCAGGTTTCATTATGTTTGGATGTCCGACTGAGTTTAGTATAAACGATATGAGCTATAATACAAAACTTATATCTGGTTTTTACTACCAACAGTTTCCTATAACAGGAAAAGGTGTCATACAAGGTTTGTCTGTTCCATTGACTTTAAGTACACCTATTTTATATATTGTTTCAAACTTAGGTTCAAAGTGCTATTCGAATGTCGACAGAAACTACTATGACCAAAAGATACTCATGCGTATAAACAACACTTTCTCTGCTGGTTTGCCTATTGTTCATTCGAATGCAGAGTTTTCAGCTTTAGTAAACTCAAACACTTTAGCAAACATAAACTTAACCTTAGTTGACGCAAACTTTGTTCCTGTAAAACTTTTATGTCCTATGTATTTGTCAATGACGGCAGAAAGTTTCGAATTGGAAGATGCAACTGGTGAAAGTATTGTACTACAAGAACAACTTCAACAACAAATAGCTCAAGAACAACAAATGCAACAAATGGAACAAATGCAACAACAAAGTCAAGAATAAAAAAATATTTTTTTTTATTTTTATAAAAATGTACAGAATAGACGTTTCAGATTTTTATGACTTCCAAGCGTTCAGAAATATGTGTCCATTTAGAGACTATAACAAAGCAGTCGAGAATTTGAAACGTTTAGTCATTTATGTCGACTCTGCCCCAGAATGTTATGTCATGAAAGAATGGGATGTAGTCTTTAACAAACCTAAAGCGACAATAGTTTCAGAACAAGAATGTAAACAGAAACTTAAGAAAATAAAAGTTGTACAAGTTGGCATGAAGATGTTAGATGCTTGGGATATCTTATTGTCAAAGTTAGAAGATTTTTCAGTTCGTGGTATAAAGTTTTATACACCTTCTCCAAACTTCTATTCTATCTTCACTGGATATAAATACGAACAAGTAGAATGGAAAGAAAATGTTATAGAAGCTTGGTTAGACCATGTCAAAGAAATTATATGCAATGGAAACGAAAGAGTCTATGAGTATATCTTATGTTGGTTTGCAAACATCTTACAACATCCAAGTGCTAAAAATGAAACTGCTCTCATTGTAATTGGAAAACAAGGAACAGGTAAGAACACTTTCTTTACAGATATTTTGTGCAAACTGTTAGAGGGCTATTCGAATCCGAATATGACAAACTTAGAAAACATCTGCGGTAAATTTAACTCTTCAATAGAGAATATGAAACTTATAGTATGTAACGAACTTCAAAGTATAGATACAACAAAGGTTTTAAACTCAGATGCTTTGAAGAGTCTTATAACAGACAAAGTTGGAGTTGTTGAAAGAAAATATAAAGACCAAAGAGTTTGTGAAAATGTTGCAAATTTCATTATGGTTTCAAACAACGCTGTTCCGATGAAGTTAGAAAGTTCTGACAGAAGATATGTAGTTGTCAGAACGTCAGAAGCTCATATGCAAGATACAGAATATTTTGACGCTTTGTCAGAAACTTTGACATCTGACTTTTACAACCACTTGTTCTCATATTTCATGACATTAGATATTTCTAAGTTCAATCCAAGACAAATTCCACATACCGAAGAGAGACAAACATTGTTAGAAGCAAACAAGAGTGTATATGAACTGTTCATAGATGAAACTGACTTTGAGTGTTTAGATGAAAGGTCATTGTACGATTCGTATAAACAGTATTGTCAAGAATATGGTTATATGACAGCGTCTAAACGAACATTCTTGGCAAATGTCAAAAGTCTTTTAGACATACAGAATGGTATATATACAAAGAAAAATTTTTCTGAGTAAATTTTAAAAAAAATATTTTTTTTATCCGATAGAAAAGATGACAAAATTCATCTCAGTAAACAAGTACATGTCAGGACTTAAAGAAGAACTAGACCCATTCACATATTTGAATGTTTACTTCTACCATTTTGAAAAGTCTTCATTTGACAAAGTTTGGAACATCGAACCAGTTAAGTTTGCTATTGTGACTAAAAATGGTGCGAAATTTGAAGACTTAGACATAGAAGGTTTGTTAACAGTCAAAGAAAGTTTTGACAGAAGGTTTTCAAACCTTAAAGAAGGCAAAGCATACAAACTTGTTATACCTTATGAACCAAAGAAAGCAGACGACTATGAATATTATGAGTCTAAGATAGTTGAAGTTCAAGGTAAATTGGGTAAAAAGATTTTAGAGTCTAAGCCGGTGTTTACTCCTAAAGAGGAAGAGAACATTGACATTGACTCAGAAATGTTCTAAAAATAAAATTTTATTTTTACATGTCAAATTTCTTTTTCTCTGGCTCTGGTTCTTTCTTCTCTTCTTCTACTTTCTTTTCTTTCTTTTCTCTCTTCTTCTTTTCTGGTGGAGTTATGTCAAACTTCTCAGAACCATATTTTTGTAAAAGTGCTTTGTCATTTAATAGCTCTTCTATTCTGTTTTCTATTTCATTTTCAAGAACAGCGCATGTGTCTTCTTTGCATTCTAAGAAGTTTTGTTGGACTTCATCTCTCCAAGAGGCGTCATCTCTGTCAACAAGTCTGTCATTGACAAATTTTAAGACTTCTCTGCTTAAGGTTTTATGGTTCTTGTCATATTCCCAGAAACAGAACTTTAGAACAAATTCACCTTTCTTGTTTACACTATGTAAGATTTTATGGTCGACAGATGTTTTGCTGTCGAAAAGCTTGTCTCGAATATAGATAGCGAAATCGCTAGACATTTCCTAAAAGATAAAATTTTTAATTTTTCTAAAAATATGTTAGAAAAAAAGTTTGCTGACATTGACAAGAAATTTGAGAATGTTTTAAATAAGAACAAGAGGAAGTTAGAAAATGCTCAGATAAAACCCATACATGACAAGTTCTTATTTGCTCAGAATGGTATAACAGGTCTAATTGCACCGCCTGGGTCTGGTAAGACTTTCACTTATCTTAAAATGGCTGCACAACAACAAGAACTAGATGAGAAGAACCCATTCTATGAGTTAGTAGTCATTTGTAGTACTTCTGGTCAATTTGACCAAACCGTCAATTCGTTCAAAGATATTATAAAAAAGTCTAAGTTAGTATGTATAAAAGATACTGAGTTGTTAGATTGGATAAAGAAGTACCAAAGAAGAGTTTTGAAGTACAATGCTATAAATGAGTATGTCAATTCTAAGTTTAAAGACCCAAATGAGGAAATGCAGAGAATATTAGAGAAGAAACACTTCAGAAACAAACAGAAAGAGATAGAATACATTTCGAAGAAATTGCAATCTTACGATTGGAAGACTTACCCTCACAGATGTCTTCTTATCTTAGATGACTTTGCTTCTCATCCTTTGTTAAAGAACAGAGAACAAGACATGTGTCGAATTCTTAAGAAGCTCAGACACTTTAACATTTCAGTTGTCATTTGTGTACAGACAGCCAAGAGTTTAAGTAAGGATGTAAAGAGAATACTTACTGACATTGTACTTTTCCCCGGATTGTCCGAAGACGATTTCATGGAACTTATGAAAGAGTCCATGGCAGGTAAGTTTGACAGACATGAACTATGGGAGAAGTACAAAGTCATACAAGACCCTCATACTTCTTTCAGAATTCATATCTACGCAAACAAAGTTCAAATTGTAAAAAGTCAAGCGTAAAAATGTAAGTGTTTGAGTCTTAGTCTGTTGTGGTGCTGGGGCTGTCGGTTCTTCTGGCTTTGGAAGACATTCAGGAAGAGTTCTTCCAGTTGTCCGTTTGTGTCCTGTCGGAAGGAAGAACTCGGAATGTCAGAAGGAAGGACTTTTCCTGTCGGAAAGAAAAACTTTTCCTGTCGGAAAGAAAAACTTTTCCTGTCGGAAGGAAAAACTTTTTCTGAAGGTCGGCCAAAAAGTTCTCAATTTTCGAAAATTTGAATGGTTTACGGACGGACAACAGAAAAAATTTTTCCTGTCGGAAAGAAAAACTTTTCCTGTCGGAAAGAAAAACTTTTCCTGTCGGAAGGAAGGACTTTTCCTGTCGGAAGGAAGGACTTTTCCTGTCGGAAGGAAGGACTTTTCCTGTCGGAAGGAAGGACTCGGAATGCCAGAAGGAAGGACTCGGAATGCCAGAAGGAAGGACTCGGAATGCCAGAAGGAAGGACTCGGAATGCCAGAAGGACTCGGACAAGACAATTTACTTTATAGAGCTACCTGAGCCATCTTTGGTGTCAAGCTTGAAAAATAAACGCTTTACATGTATTTTTCAGCAACTTCGTCAAATAATTTTATAGCTTTGTCGATCTCATCTACTTCAAACGTTTCTTTACCTTTCGTGGGAGCACCATACATTTTCTCAAACTTTTCAAGTAGTTCTGTTTCAGCAGCTCTCATATCATTTACAAACACAACCTTGACTCTATTGACTATACTGTCATATCTTTTAGTTATATTATATGTTCTTCCTATCTTATATCTCTTTGTATTGAAGTCCTTCGGTTTCTGAACGATGTAAAGTAAGCCTTCACTGCAACGTTCCGTATCGAATGAACCATATGTTATGAAATTATATCCAACAACTGGGTCAATCCAGAACAAAACTAGTGGTATAAGACTTTTGTCGATGAGATATGCTGTAGTTCCATGAAATCTTACTGATATCAAAAGCTCAGGATTTCTTGTCAAAATTTTCTGAGTTGAAGCATTTCTAACCCAGTCCTTTGCTCTCTTTCCAGATGGAGATATAATGTCTGACAAAGAATATTTTTTGTATTTCTTTGAGTATCTTACGTTTAAATCACCTATTCTAACCACCTTGGTCTCATTGTCTATCTTTTTAACTGTTTCAAACTCAGTGCTTGTCATTTCCTGTTCTTACATACAAAATAAAAAAAAATATTTTAAAAAAACTAGCGTTAATTTTATTTTTTCTATCTTGTATAAAAGATATGATTTCAGGGATTTTTTTTACGATTTTCATAGAGTTTTGGCGACCAGGGTTTTTCCCCTGCTCGCATTTTTTCACGATTTTCATGTGTTTTTTTACGATTTTCATGAGTTTTAGGCGACTACGGTTTCTTACGTACTCGCATTTTTTTACGATTTTCATGAGTTTTAGGCGACCCCGAAAAAAACAGGGGTCGCATTTTTTCACGATTTTCATAGAGTTTTTTTACGATTTTCGAATGGAATCTCGTTCCTCGGTTTTCCGAGGGTCGCAATTTTTCACGATTTTCATAGAATTTTTTCACGATTTTCGTACGGAATCTCTATCCTCGGTTTTTCGAGGGTAGCAAACATATGAGGAAATTCATGAAATTTGGTCATTTTACTCAGCAAAAATATATTTTAGGTGAAGAGGTGAGATCTCACCTCTTTTCTCACCTCCTTTCTCACCTCTTTTTCACAAGCGTCTTACATGAATTGTACGATGTATATTTGAAATCCTAAACAGTTTTGTAGCTTCTATTTCTTCTGTCAGTATGTCAAAAGTTTTAACAATGCCGAATGTTTCTTTATATTTCTTCTTGACATCAGATAGAAGGAAATCGTCAGCTGTTGGATAGTTTTTGTTCAGAAATGTCAACATGTCCATTTTATCTTCTGCTGGTTTCTCTGCTTCTTTCTTTAAATCTGCATAGTCGTTTCGCATTCTTTCTATCTCTTTGACGGAGTAGTTATATTTCCTCATTGCTGCTTTACATTTTGAACATTGTGGGTTCATTTTAGCATTGTACATTGAAATAAAACCTGCAAGTATGA